TTGAAAGAGACCTTCATACGCTTCCTCTTCCATGTCATCATCATCATCAACTGACAAATCATCGTCACCTGACTTTAGTCTCTTGTGTGACGGCTCATCTACCCTTAGGAAGATCTTTTACACCGTCCGCACAAAACAATACTGTTTTCAACCGTTGCTTTGCATAAACTTTGTGCCTGTATATGCGTTTATTGGCATCAAAGACGTGCACCATACGATCAAGGCCAACTGCTGCAATGTATGGAAGCGTCGGGTGGCACGTAATTTCCGATCCGACTGGTCCTGTGCATAGGCTCATATGCTTCAAAGTATATAAGTCAAGATCATTTTCTGCCATATCTCCGATGTATACTCAAGTTTCATCTGTTGATATGCAAATGGACTGAATTGGATTTTCTCCAAAATTATCGAGCTGTTGCACAGATCTGCGCTTAGTGTTCAATTATAAAATCGAATGTGACCGAAAGTGGTGCCGACAATAATGCGGTGATTCTGGGGATTAGTGAAGAAGAAGATGACAACGTGTGCTAGCAAGCGTGATAGGAACAGCAACAGCACCAGTATACGCATCTGGCTCTTGACTTTGATGAATGACCGTCGTATGGAATCCGTTCAACGTAATTAAGGGTTGCACTGCTCATACTTCCTAGTGAGCAGCCACGAACTGATTCGTAAGATAATGATTGGATGGCTTTTAAGTCATGCCTATAGTTTGATTAACGGATGCCGGTTTAGTCCACAACCAAAATTCGTCCTTTTAATTAAATTTTCGACATGTAATCGACTCGGAAAACCTTAATCATTAGATCAGCATTCGTTACACGTTGATAAAAATGGTTGAAAAGTTTTAGATACTAAATGCTTTCAAGTCTCATTCCAGTGCTTACACCCAAATTTTCTGCGCTTTGTTCCTTCCTATCGCTCTGCTTGTTCGAAAATATCATTGATGATGTAAATCCCAATGCTGGTTTCCTTACTTAACTCGAAGCAAATTGTTGCATCTCTCATGTTCAATTCTCCTTAGTTAATAATTCGGACTTCGATTTGTCCTCTATAACTGCCACGCAATCTCGTCCAAACTCAGATCGCTTCAAGGAAAACTTTTTTACTAAATGTCAAAATCCTCACAAATTTTTATTGAGTTAATGATGTCATGTGGCTGGCAACATGATGTACATCTGAACGATAATGAGCAGAGAGTGGTAATAAAAAAATTTCAATGGTTGGATAATTTTTTTCAGTAAATACATCACTATCTATGGTGTCCTGTAGTCCTGTGGATATAGTGGTCACATGATTGAAGGGAAGTGATGGACTTTGTAATCATTGGTTTTTGGTCACATCGTCGATTTGATGGGGTATCATGTTCTTAAGATGCAGCAAAAAACGAAAAGTGATTGATCATTCTCCGACTTACTAGAAAGTCAAGAGTTCAAGAAAGCATGACCGATGAAACACTTCTTTCAACTTCAAAACTGCCACATTTTCCAGCAGCTATACCAGTGAAACCCGAGAATACTGTCGAAGTGTTTGTCGCTGACTTTAATGGCGTCGCTTTACCAGTAATGGTTCCAGTGGGAACAACAATGACGGATGTGGTGGATGCCGCATATAAAATGTCCTCGTTTAAGAAGGGAGACTTTCTCGGCTTTAAATATGTAAATTTGCGGTTGGATGATCCTGTGACGGCAGCCGATGCAACAAGATGGACGGC